GTTTGACTAAATTATTTTCTCTTAAGTTTATTTATAAACTGATACAGTCTACAGTCAAACTAGTGAGGAGTATAAGAGTCAATAACTTCATCATCGAAATCTGTCAACAGGCATTTTACTCGATCCGGCTATCAATTATCAATGCAACCCCCTCCCTCCCCCCGGGGGTGACTTACACGATACAAACAAAATCGAATTATCCTTTAAAAACCTTTTACCCACGTGGCGGGAAGGTTTTTCGATGGGTATCGAAGATATCGATTTTAATTAGATCGAATCTATCTCGCTGTTTTTTCTGGCAAAACGTGGGATACAAATCGAAATTCAACAAGCTCGACTTTTTTCTGTAAGAGATCGTTAGAAAGTATCGATACGAGCACGATGGAATAAAAAACTGAACGTGGGCGTTGAGCGTCCGTTCTGTTCCTTTTACTTGTTTATTTTTTTTTTCTATATTTTTATTTTAATGAAAACGAAGCTCGATAACCGTCCGTCGTTATTTGAATCGCATTTAGCAGGAAGGAACCAAGCCACATCAACAATTGCAAAATTAGCAACCAGCAATTTGCAATTTGACGTTTTACAGGAAAACGTTTGTGCGGATTCCTTTCAAAATTTTATGGAATTTGCTTCGTACTAGGCAAAAAATTCACCGAGAATTGCACAAAAATTCGCTCGATCGCTGCCATATAAAAAATTAAATTGTCCAGTTAAATTTGGCAATAGCTGATGTGGTTTGGTTCCTTTCTGCTAAACGCGGCCCATTTGATCGACAATCTCCCATTTTCTTTTTTTGTTTTGTTTCTAGCATCCTCTTGCCTCAGGAATAAAATCAATCTCTGTTCTTTGCCGTTACTCGATGCATCGCATGAATGTAGACCGAATTTTGCAATTAGGAACTATACCGTTTCCAGTTCACTTAAGAATCGACTAAATTACCCTTAGTTCTCCACGGTAGATAAGTGTTTTTACAAATGGGTCAGAAATTATAGTTATCAATTGAAAAATGAAGTTCATATGATGGTTATTTCAGTGCACGTAACAATTGGACCGAGTTCACCAGACAGGAACTAACCCGCATAAAGTTGAATCTGAGAAACAGAGGTTTGAAGTTTTATTCCTGCATAAGCTATGTAAAAAATAAACTTTAACCCCTATTTTCGCAATTTTTTTCTTGTTTTTAGACTTTCAGTTTTTGGCAGGAGAAAATATATGACTAGTAAAATTCAGAAACATTTTTGACTCAATGTTTTCAAAAATGTGGGTTGGTTCCTTTCTGATGAACTCAATCCAATTGATTTTTTCGGAGTGATTTCTTACGTCGAAGTGAGAAAGCGATTGTCGGACCCACACAATTGAAACATTCCGTGCTCACGGTTACTCTACAGGATTATTTTTGTCACTCTATCTCGATCAGATCAACCAAAAGAACTTTGTCGATGGGTCAATTCTCCGTTAAAGCGACTTAACAACAACCAGACCATCAGACCAGACAACTAGGGTTGAAGGAAATGTCATGCTGAACTAATGTGCTCTTGTTTTTCTTGCGCTTACGTTGCGAAATCCAAAAGGGTTGGGCCTTAAACTGTTACCTAAGTGATTCAGGCTCGATCCTGATTTTTAACGAGGTTGCAACTTTTCAATCCAAATACGAGTATTTGGCCATTGTAACCCAAAGATTTGGTGAGCATAACCAAAAGAAAAAGTAACGGGCGTTTAGGTTACTTGAGTTCCATTTCCCATATTAGAACAAAAATGCTATTACTTTTTCTTACTGAGCACTAAGACAATCCCTTGAATGGATTTTATCGGTGTTTATTTTTTGCGTTTCAAAACGCGATGAGTATAAACCAGAAACACTTCAAAAAGGTATAGATCGAAAGGGTAAATAAATCCGTCAATCTGGCACCGCTGCAGACGAACTCGAGCGAACGCGAGTCAGACGTATCGTTCGACTGCACGATTGCTCCCCCCCCCCCCCCCATTTTTGGATGACCCCCAAACTCCCCCGCTAGCAGCCATTTGCGAACCCGCAGTCAGCCGCGGAATCTATATGAAAAACGACACTCCTGGTAATTAATGAAAGCTACTTTGGGCAACGCGTCCGACACAGTTGTAAGATTGTGGCGGATGATCCAGAATCCCAATATTTCATGAGATTACGACGAAACTCACTGGGGATTTATTCCTACTCCTCTTCGCGCGATGATATGAAAGAATTCGGAATCATGGATTCAATGTTGAATATCGATGGCTAAAATGCGAAATCGCGTATCTCCATTGCGGTGTTTTAAAATGTCCGCTGAGTTTCTATTTTTTCGAGAAGAAACAAGCCGACTTTGCAGCTTTAAATACAGAATATTCTGCTGACTGAGAAGAAAAATCACACCGAAAAAAAGTGAAGTAAATTGAAGATTCTGGATGTAAAAAAGTGTGCGAGAACTTATAAAATGCTGAAGTACCCTCTTACGGCAGTTACTTTAGCAATGCCAAGATGTAAAACCAACTGCTGTGGCGGGTAATTCAGCATATTATAAGTTCTCACACACTTTTTCACACCCAGAATGTTAAATCAACTCCACTTTTTTTAGGGGCTGGGAAGATTTCGAGAAATTACGTTGACTAGTTTTTCAAGGAAACAATAAATAAGGAAACAATAATAGTATGACAGGGGGTCTGTGACGGAGGTACGTGGTTTCGCACTTTGATCGTCGATTTATAGGAGTTGATTGTATGACATTAACTTCGTCATGATACTCAACGATTCTATGAAATGGTAAAGTTCAAAATTAAATAAGTCAATGGACGAGTGGTCAACGCAGCTACGTTTAAAGTTGGCTGAATTCTCGCGAGGTTCTTTTTTCTAGTAAAGGACCAAAGGGACGTATTTATTCTAAAAGGAACTATGTACATAGGGTCGCGTGTAACATAGTTTCTTTTAGCATAAATACGTCCAAATGAGATGCTGCCTTGTAACTTTTCGTACATTTTCCATAGATAGTAAGTAAACTCAAAAAAAAAAATTAACTCGGAATGATTACAAATTTTCTAGTAAAATAATGAAGCATGAAAGGAAGCTAGGCAGCATCTACAGTAGTTAGGTTAATTCTGCCTATATGAGATAAATACTGGTCGCATTTAGTCATTCGATATGTGACAGCTACGGCAAGATATACTGGCTCAAAAGTTACAGAGACGAACTGCCTGTGTAACTAACTGATTCATACAAAGCGCCTTCAAATTATGTGATGCCTCTCAGCACTATCGTAGTGTTTGAATAGTTGCATCCTTCAGAAACTCCTCCTATACCGCTCTGGTTTTATAGTAGTCGCTGATCAATGCTGCGGAGAGACTCAACACAATGTAGCTTTTGCAGTTTTTGCCCCTCAATTCATTTTCAGAAGTGCGTACAAATAGAATGTTTTTGTCCAAAATGTCCCCGTTTTTCATTTAATAATATTTATGCTTAGAAGGCGACTTTCAAAGTGTCCAAAAATCCAACCCCATTTTGTTCAATCCGGCAACGCGGAGATGGCGAGCCACCCCGAGCCAGGTGAATGGACTGTGCGGAGGAGGGTTGAAAAATCTTTTCGACAAAGCTCTGCTTTCGGGAGCAATCTATCAAGGCGGTTTTTAAATGTTCCGTCGGACGAAATGCGTGTTCGAACATTTCGACTGTTCGTCCGTCGCCGCTCTCTCTCTCCCTCCGACCGCAGCCCCGGCGGACGTCTCTCTTCACCTAATGACTCTTGGTTTTTCGCGCTTTCATCCCCTCCCCCGCCACCCCCTCGCGTTCCTGCTCGCTGCATCCTCAGAATGCGGAAACGGACCTAATTCACAACGACTGCGCCGCTATGAAAAGGTTCCGGTGAAATCATTGTCGGTAACGAGACAGGGATGTTTCTGTAGAATTACCTTTTGAGCTAACGCGCCGCGCTGGTTTTATAGTAGTCGCTGATCAATGCCGCGGGGAGACTCAACACAATGTAGCTTTTGCAGTGTTTTTCCTCCCCAATTCATTTTCAGAAGTGCGTACAAATAGAACGTTTTTGTCTAAAATTTCTCCGTTTTTCATTTAATAATATTTATGCTTCGAGAGCGACTTACAAAGTGTCCAAAAATCCAACCCCATTTTGTGCTAACAGCTTTCGTGGTATTGAAAGAACGATTAACTACCGTGTATCCTTCATCTCCGAGTTAGTTTATTCCCGATTCTTGAGTGCCACATCAATTTTACGTCATTTTGCGTAAAGGAACTAAAATTTTGATCAATTCGTGAAAACAACTATCAGCCTAAGGAAACTAATGACACATATGTTGTCTCTTTATCAGTCATTTTCGGTCTCTTCTTGGGTTTGACACCGGCCTAAACACCGGTATGAAAACCGATTTGGGTAAAAAATGCGTGCTTTGTGAGTAAACGGGTGAAAGGCGAAAAATTCCCATTTAATGCCGAAATTGGCTCTCAGACCCGTGTTTACTGCTTGGACCGGTAATAGGCCAAATCATGATGAATTTCGTTAAATATGGACCTTCCATAAGAAAAAAAATTGTAGAGTTGAGGACACTTAGCTAAGGTGATCCAAAAAACGGCCCTTCTGGATAACCTTCCTTTCAAGATTGCCACAGAATGTAGAAACTGAATTTCCCTGACACTTCTCTGATTTCTCTGACCCGTTTTGGTAAAATTCCCTAATAGTTGAAGATATGCCGAACGGTAAAAAAGACATAATTTTAAATAGTCTTCGGGCAAAATTTGTTGTTCGAAACGTTAAACGCATTCTATAGAGCGCAAATAAGGGTGGCTTATCTGTTTTACCCTGACTTTTTCTTCATTTTCCCTGACATTTCTAGATTTTCCATGACTTTTTAAAATTTCCTGGCCTTTCCCGATTTTCCCGGTATTCCCTGACTATGGAAACCCTGTCCTTTTGAATGAAATTGGTTGAAAAAATAAGGAAAGATATTTGAAAAAATGATGATGGGGTTTGTGGACTTACCGTTGAGTATGTGGACGAAGGTGCTGGCGGGCTGGGCGTTGCTGGGGACGCAGGAGTAGTTGCCGGCGTGGTCCCGGGTGGCCCGTCCGATGAAGAGGGAGCTCGTCTTGGCGGCCAAGTCCGAGGTGACGTTGACGCCCCGGTCCAGGTCGTAGTTGACCATCCGGTTGTTGTGGTACCAGAACACGTAGACCGGCGGG